ACTACTACTACTACTACTACTGTTACTACTACTACTGCTACTACTACCACTACTACTACGACTACTATGACGACTACTACTACTACTACTACTACTACTACTACTACGACTACTACTGCTACTGCTACTACTGACACCAAACATGATAGAACTACAGGCATTGCTACCACCACTATACTGATATCTCTATGGCTACAGCTATTGCTATTACTACTATCAATCATGATACGACTACTACAACGAGTACCACCACCACTGCTACTACGAGTACTAGCACCAGTACTAGTACTAGTCTTGATAATACTGCTAGTCCTCCAGAGGGGTGTGCGCAAAGGACCCTTAGGTGGCGTTCCCTGTGGGGCCAGGGCCACGATCCTCGAGAGGGGTATGCCAAAATGAACCTTCGGTGGAGCTCCCTGTGGGGCCAGGGCCACGATCCTCGAGAAGGGGTGTCCCGAAATAAAGCTTCGGTGAAGCTCCCTGTGGAGCCAGGGCCACGATCCTCGAGAGGGGTGTGCCGAAATGAGGCTTCGGTGGAGCTCCCTGTGGGGCCACGAAACGAATGAGGGGTGTGCCAGCATGCGCGCGGTGGGCGCATGCGAGCGCAGCCACTGGCGCCCCCTGATGCCTCTTGGGGCCTTCGGCGGGACACGTGCAACCAAAGCAACCACCTGCGGGCGTTGCGAGGGAGGGGGTCCGCACGCAACCGCGCTCGCGCTCGAGCGTTGCGCGGTTGCGTTGCGTCCCCCCCCCCCCGCGCGCGCAACTCCTCCCGGGGCACTAGCAACACGTCCTCATCATCATCAACAACAACTACTACTACTACTACTACTACTACTACTACGACGACGACGACGACGACTACTACTACTACTACAGGAAAACAACAACAGCAACAACAACAACCACCACCACCACCACAACAACAAAAACGACAACGGCAACGACAACGACAACAACCACAACCACAACAACGACAACGACGACGACAACGACAACAACATCGACGACAACAATAACAGCAACAACAACAGCAACAACCGTAACAACGACAACAACAACCACAACCGCTACCACAACAACAACAAGCATCATAACAACAACAACAACAACAACAACAACACATAACAACAACAACAACAACAACAACAACAACAACAACAACGACAACGACAACGACAACAACAGCAACAACAACAGCCACAACCACAACCACAATAACCACAACCACAACAACAACCACAACAACAACTACCACCACGACAACAACAACGACAACAGCAACAACAACGAGGACGACGACGACGACGACGACCACGACGACAACGACACCGACAACGACAACCATAATAACCATAACAGCAGCAGCAACAACAACAGCAACAAAAGCAGCAGCAATAAGAATCATGTTAAGACTGATCGCTCCTATCTGCCCGCCCGCTTTGTCTTCCTTACCTGCCACGTGCATTTAGCGCAGCCACTGAAACAGGAGAAGAGAAACCGAACGGAACGGTGAGGGAAAAAGATGGAGCACGAGAGAAATTAGCGGGAGGGGGGCCAGGAGCGGAAAACACGTGGCAGAATGTCCGAGACGGGGAGTCCTCAGCTCACACATTTGATTATGGAAGTTCCTCATACCAAGTCCAGGGAGCTGTGTGTGTGTGGATGGATGATCTTCAGAGCCTCAATGATGCCCTGGAGGTAGCAGACGGCACTGGGTGAGAGCACGAAGGGTAGCCTTCATGCATGTATTTCCGTTGTGCAGTTTGTCCGAGAATGCTGAGGCGAAAGGCGCGTGGGAGCACGGCTTGCACGTCTCGAAGTATGTACTCTACGCATCCCCAGTTCACTGCTCTGGGTGTGTCGCCTATTTTGCCTAAGAGAGCGGTGCACGCATGAGATGTCGAGGCAGCTTACCACGCACGGCGCAGGCATCTGTGTCCAGAGACTGCCTGGAAGCGAGAGGAGGGAGGAGAAGGGAGGGAGGAGGGAGAAAGGGAGGAAGCGGGAGGAGAAGGAGAAGGGAGGGAGGAGAAAGAAAGGGAGGAGGGAGGAGGGAGGAGGGAGGAGGGAGGGAGGAAGGAGGGAGGGGGAAAGGAGGAGGGAGAAAGGGAGGAACGCAGGAGAAGGACAAGATCCTCCTCTCCCTCCTCCCTCCACCATCCACCCCACGAGAGAACACTGCCCGCGCCCCTGCCTACGCTGCATCAACCTCCATTCCATCCCCGCCAGTCTCCAGGCCCTCCCGCTCGCGCGGCCCCCCGCGCCCGCGGCGGAGGAGCCAAGCGATGGGGCCGGCAAAGCGCGCCAGGAACTCGAAGGGGCCGCCGTTAGAGGCGTTGGCGTTCTGCATCACGACGTCGACCTGCCCCGCAGCTTTCGAAGCCCAAGATTTTCGCAAGGATCGGGAGGCTTTCGGCCTCTCTTGGAGGGGGGGCTGTCCGCATGCTTCCACATCTTTCCACGGGTTCGTGGAGGGCTCTGCAGGATTCCAAAAAATTCCTGACGGGAGGGAGCAGGGAGGAGGAACGCCCAGGGATGCGAGTTGTCCATCTCTTCTACTTGTTCCTTTATGGGACGCGCGGGGACGGGAGGAAGGTTTACATATACACATATATATATATATACACACACACATACTTAGCTCCTCGCCGCACGACCAAGCGTGTCGGTCAGGCGGTCTGGACATTTCGCCTGAGCCTTCCTCACGATATGTTATCCTGAAGCTTGATAGTTCTCACGGCTGCACGGATGGAAGGCGGGTGGCTTCAAGATGTGGCCCTCGCCATGGCGCCGCGCACGTTCGTATTCAAAGCTTGCAGCAGTTACATGAATTGATGGCGATTCATAACAAAAACCCGATTATCGCCCAAGCGCCACGCCCAGTCGCCTTAGAGTCCAACAGTTGCACGGACGGAAGGTAATTCGCTTACACGTTATGTTCCTCATCGGCAACTTCCCGATAGTTCAATCCGATTTGAACAGTCCAACTGTTGGCTGGATGGATGGGGGCGCCTTTTTGAAAAGTTGGCTATTGCCGAAGACCTCATCACATGCTACACCCTCGAAGTTTAACTATTCCAATAACTGTTCCAGTTGAAGATGTCATCTTTGACCCTCAAGCTCGAGCTTTCTACTGGGTACAGGAAGAACGGGTGGTACC